TTAAATCTTTAATTGATTTTGATTGAAAAATATTTGAATTGCAATGTGACCTGTTAATTTAATACTAATGAAAACAGGAGCTACCAGCACTTTAACACGGTTGACACACAGATTATTATATTTCTGAGACTCCACTCTCACAACAATGACTCGAGACTTGCACATGTGACTCTCTCCCACCTCTGCGGCTCACAGCAGCTCCAGATAATGGAGACACCTCATGTTTTATGCTATAAATTATAATTATATCATTATTATATAAAATAAACATTCAGTTTAGTCTTCAGTTTGTCTCGTTTTCAGTAGAAAATGTTGAATTAAACCAAATTCTTTTCAAAATTCTACCAATTTAAGGTTTATTAGTTTGTGTTTATTACGTCTAATATTCTCCAAACAGGAAGAAATTAACTATTATTATTTAGATTAATAAAGGTAATAACAATACTATCAGTTCAGTTTGTAGTTAATATCAATGTTAGTCGGTTAATAATTTACATTCTTTTGTGTCCAGATGGAACAAATAAACTTTATTAAAACTTTTCAACTTATAAAAATTATGTTTTCCACTTTTTTCTGAAGTAAATCAAAATGTTTCTTATATTCAGGCTTATTGCTGATTGTTGATTAATCGTCTATAAAATGTCAGTAAATCGTCTTCATCAAATATCTCGTTTTGTCTGAAGATTCAGAGAAGAACAGGAAGAAGGAGAGCTTTTACTTCATTGATTGATTGATTGATTGATTGATTACCTGAAAAATGTCTCATTCAGTTGTTGGTGAATCTCAGATCCTCCGTTCTGTGTTTGATCATTAAAATCTTAAATTAAAACATTTTTGAATGGAGTTCATTGTGGACGAGTTCCTTTCCCTCCTGTAGCTAACGTTGTTAATCTTCAGTGTTCAACAGAGACCGGTGCAGAGACCGGTCTTCCTCCCCTCTCGTCGGGCCTGCAGACCCCGTCCCATGTCTGAGCTGTGGGCCTAGTTCTAGGCTGAAGGTTGGACCAGTCCAATGACCTGCCAGTCCTCCGAGTCCACCGACAGCATCGAGAGCGACAGACGAGTCGACAACAACTCCAGGGCTGTGGAATCGGACGAGAGCCGCATCGCCTTAGCCATGAAAGACCTGAAGAACACAGGTGGGTCCCGCAGAGTCCGGACCGGCAGGCACAGGCCTCGTTTCCATGGATACAAACACATCAGTGCAAACAGACATGTGACTGTAACACTGATCATTAGTAGCATTAGCATTAGCAGTGATATATTAGTGTATTATTGTAGTTTAGATTTTAGATATTAATAAATAAAAACTCTCCGTCTCTTGGGGCGGATAATGAGATTCAAACAGTTAACATTACTAAAAGCTCCTGATAGAGAAACTCTGGTTCTGCTTCTGACTGAAACTAACTGGATATTGATTATTATTAGATATTGATTATTATTATGGTCTGTATGTTCTCAGGCTGGTACTGGGGCAGTCTGACGGCTAACGAGGCCAAAGAGATCCTCCAGGACGCCTCCGAGGGGACGTTCTTGGTGCGGGACAGCTCCCAGAGAGATTACCTGTTCACCATCTCGGCGATGACGTCGGCGGGTCCGACCAACCTGCGCATCGAGTACAAACACGGGAAGTTCAAGCTGGACTCGGTGGTTCTGGTGAAGCCCAAACTGAAGCAGTTCAACAGCGTGGTCCACCTGGTGGAGCACTACGTCCAGCTGTCCCAGACCGGCGACAAGGCGCCGGTGAACTCTCGGCCTTCGGCGCCGCCGCCCAACGGTACGGTGCAGCTGCTGCTCACCAAACCGGTGTACACCGCCACACCGCCGCTGCAGCACCTCTGCCGGGTCGCCATCAACCGGACAACGCGGCGGGTTCAGGACCTGCCGCTGCCCAACAGACTGAAGGACTACCTGATGGACTACGCCTACAACGTGTAGAGCCGGACGCCACTGACCAATCCCAGCATGCTTTGCTCCTGTGACAGGAGGGACGCGCAATAATCAGTGAGGAAGAGGAGGAGGAGAAGGAGAAGGAGGAAGAGGAGGAAGAGGAGGAGGTACTCCTCTGTGTACTGCAGTAATACTACAGTATTGGCACTGTTTGTACTCTGTGGGACAGATTTTGGCAGTTTCGGTCCTCCGTATAAATCCGTATCAGTTGAAGGTGAATTAACGGTCGTAAACTCGCAGCTACACGACAGAAACAGAAACAATATTTACGAACAAACAGCTGTTATCAGTTAATATATTTAAAAAATGTGGATCAATAACAGTCACTCACATAAACCTGTTTCCAATAATAAGGTGATTAATTACTGATTATTGATCAGTTGATATAAAATATGAACTTTAATTAAACTCCTGTTTCAGTTAACGAAGAGAAACTCAGTCAAAACTGACAACAACATTTCCTGCTGTCACAGTTGAGTCACAGGAAACCGAGGCCTCTGATTGGCCACTGGACGACCATGAGAGGCTCGACCCTCGGTGGTGGCGGCGGCGAGGGTTTCCTGATCGATGGAAACAAACAGACGTGTTGTTTTCATGTGAACTCTAATGAGTCAGACTTTGCCCCCCCTCAGATCGCAGGAAAACACACAGGACCTGGTGATCCTGCTCTGAGGTTCAACGAGGACGCGGCCCAGATAAAGTCCACATCAGTCTGATCTCCGGTCCGGTTTCACTGGTTTCTGATCACAAAGCGAAATCAGCTCCGATCCATTCAGTCCGATAACGTTCCAATAAATCCGTCCAGAAAGTTCCGATGTTTGCTGATTCTTAAGTTTTAAATTCAGTCCGATAACAGAATCACAAATTCCTCCAACGCGTCCTGAAAAACCTTCTGTTTCCCAGGATGGTGAAGTCGTGACGACGTACATACATAGAGACAGCGGTATGGAAGATGATTAGTGCCATATACTAAAAATGTACTTGAGTTCTGGGTTAAAAAAAGTCTGAATTCTGAAAATAAAATCGTCTTCCATAGATCGATATCACCCATTAGACAAAGTCTAGGTATCAGAATCAGTATTGAGAAGTCATCCAATCACAAATCATTGAGCCATTCATCATCAAACGTCAAAAGTCGCAAATATTTTTAATGAATTATACAAAAAAAATCTAAACTATTTTGACATCTTTCACTCTCTTCTGCAATTTAATTATTAAAAAATCTAAACAGGCAAATCCCAAAAGCTGCTCTCTGAGTAGAAGATTAATTAAATCATTTTATTACCATTCGAGTTATCAGAAGTCTTAACAGGAAGTTCTCCTTTAATACGTCCATGAACCTTTTGTTATATTTTATCTTTAACAAACAGCTTCTGTGATTTAAGGTTTGATATTATTTGGATTCATTGTGTTAAATCTTCCGTCAGATTCCAGAACAAACAACAAACAGTTTAGATCAATAATCTGATCAATAATCTGGATCAATAGTCCTAGTTCTTCAGAATAAATATGTTTTATAATATAATTTTTTTATATTTTCTTGCTTAGTTCAAACAGTCGAAGCCTGAAAGATGTTTGATTTGAGTCGCAGTAACTTAAGTATTGATTATAAATTAAGTTAATTAAAGTTATTCCTTTACGCAGCTTTAAAAGGAACTTAAATAAAATGAGTCGGTGGAACAAACTGGAATCAAACACATTAAAGTTCAGACTGATTTTGTCTTTACGATAACGAGGATTCTTCGTGGACGCGTAGCTGCGAGTTTCAGCTCGACCTCCGTTCTCTTCCGGGTTTTAAGGCGGTCCAGGTCCAGGATGTGGTCACTCAGGTAAACGGGACTGAATGTTCCTCTTTGTATCTTTTATTTTTGTATGAGGGGTTAATCACTGAAGGGAAGGGGCGCTGGTTTTATCTCCAGCTACGATTTCATGGTGATAAAGTTCATCTACCATCGGACCTTTATTACTATTTATAACACAATGAGCAGGACCACACATCTTTGTACATATCACACCTGCTGAACCCTGCTGGACCCCGCTGGACCCCGCTGGACCCCGCTGAACCCGGCTGGTTTTGATTATTAAGGATATTTATTGATTGTGTCTCACTGTGTGTTCTGGTACATTTTTTTGTAAAGAAGCTGCAGACTGAAAGCGTTCTGCTGACAGGAAGCTCTGCGGCGGTTCTGTAATGTTGATCGGCTCCGACCACGAGATGAATAAAATTTTTATATGGTGCTTCATCGCGGTGGTGTTGTATATTTATTTGATTTACTTACGGACGTTTATATATTAATAAAAACATTTGACATCCTATAAAGTATGACAACAGCAAGTTAATAGTTTATGTTGTATTATAAAACTTCATCTTAAAAAAGTGAAATTAATTTTCATAACAATTTGTTTCAGCGTATGGAAGACCAAAACTGCAATAAATAAATAAATAAATATGCCTTTTAAATGCACAAAAATCTTAAAAATAAATACAGGCATTGATTTAGAAATGTGACATTAATTGTATTAATTCCCCTATTTTACTGACGTTTTTTTATTTATGTATCAGGTCAAATATAAATATATATAATGTATATTTATGTGAATTTGGCTTCTTTTAAAATATAAAACAAATAGCCTTTACAGTAATAAAAGCCTTTATTTTAGTATTATCTATTAAATAACTAACTGGTGTTTCTGCCCATTCAACCGAACTCCATTGAATAATCTGCCGGTTTTAGGATTTCCCTTTATTAGTGAACTATAAACACTTGATAGAACATAAAATCTGAGCCTGTTGGAGACTGTAAATGATTCTGATAAATCCGGGTTAAGTGTTAGGTTTATCTAATCGACTAAATAAACTGTTTGGATACAAAAACTCTAATTTTAGCATTAGCTTACAGTGTGAGGAGGAAACGTTGATATTTTATGTAAATTAGTGACACCTGGTGTATAACAGGTTTGCCGAATTGAAGAGTGGCTCATAATAATTCACTTAATAATTCACTAAATTAAACTGGTTGAGTAATTTCACTTAATTAGAAGATTTGTAGACGTGACAAACGGAGTGTTTACCGTTAGCAACACATTGGTTCCGCTGGTGTTTCCAGTCGGACACAATAACATTGAGCAGACAGCCCGGACCGGTAGCGACGGAGGACTCGTGTTCACGATGCAGTTCGTGAGTTAGTTAATTAAAGATAATTAAAGATAATTAAAGATAATTAAAGATAATCAGCGGCTCTCAGCTCCACATGGAGCCGGCGCACAGAGCTCTGCTGCGGACGCACCGGCTGCAACTGTCCGGGCAGCTACTGGTCAGTGAAACTATCGTTCCGTTCCTGTATCAGGAGGACATTTTAACAGAGGCACAGGTGGAGGACATCGAGTCCCAGCGGACAGACAGACTGAAGACTCTGCGGCTGCTGGACCTGCTGCAGACCCGCGGACCCCGGGCCTTCCCCTGCTTCCTGCGGGCTCTGGAGGACTTCAGCTGGGTCCGAGACACACTGCTGCTGGACCTCCAGAGCGGACCTGGACCCGGACCTGGACCTGGACCTGGACCTGGATCCACAGGTGAGACAGACAGACAGACAGAACTCACAGGTAAAAAAAAAAAGTAAAAGGTTTGTATTTTTAATTTGACGCTTTTATTGAGGTTAACTTTTTATATACTGTTTGTTTTTTCATTTGTCCGATGATTGGTGTATACTCTTTATATATTATATAATATATATTACTGTTGTGCAGGGCCTTTTTGGGGGAGTATCTAGAAGAATACATAAACTACAGACACATAAGAAACTCTCTTACTGTTGAAGCATCACATACATATTTAAATGCAATGATTCTCCCACATCTTTTCTATTGCATGACAAGTTGGTCTCAGGGATGTAAAACAGCCTTAAAACCACTGAATCATTATAGAAAAGTGCCTTAAGATTCAGAAAACACGTCAGTATCATCACTGTCATATACTCACCAAATATAGTATTTTAAATCTTGAAAATCTAATAATGCACACAAAT